TAAACATTAATTTCTTTAGAAATTATAATTATGAATTGATTATGCCAGTTGAAAATAAAAAAATTAAAATATAACCGAACTACAGTTTTGTATCATGTGTTGTATTTGATTTCTTTGTTTTCTGTTTTCTGCCTATATTTTCTTTAATGATTTAGACTGACATTCTTTGAAAAATATGATAGGTATGAGTCGAAGTTCATCAAAAGAATTACTGAAGAGGTATTACGGGAAGTGAATCGTACATACATAAATGTTGCAAAGTATCCTGTTGGAATTGATTCTCGTGTTAGAGATATACTTCTTTTATTGCAAACTCAAACAAATGATCATGTCAAGATGATTGGAATTTTTGGCATGGGTGGTGTGGGAAAAACAACCCTTGCTAAAGCCATTTACAACTTGAGTTATCAAAGATTTGATGGTTGTTGTTTTATTGCAAACATTAGATCACAAGTTTCTGAGGGGCACCATGGTTTAGTTCGTTTACAAGAGAAACTTCTTTGCAAAACTCTAAATACAAAGAAACTTGAAATAGATAATGTTGATGAAGGAATCAGTTTGATCAAAGAAAGGTTGCGATCAAAAAGGGTTCTTATTGTTCTCGATGACATAGATGATATTAGTCAACTAGAATCATTAGCTGGACAACGGAATTGGTTTGGTTCATGCAGTACAATTATAATAACAACCAGAGATGTTCATTTGTTGAGTGACCTTAGAGCACACGAGAAGTACATGGTAAAAACATTAAACTTTTTTGAATCTTTTCAACTATTGAGTTGGCATGCTTTTGGCGTTTCTATACCATTAGAGGAGTATACTGAAGTATCCGAAAGAATAGCAAGTTATACTGGTGGACTTCCTTTAGCACTTACAATTATAGGTTCTCATTTGCGTGGAAGATCTGTGGAAGAGTGGATTGACAATGCTGAGAAATTGAGAAAAATACCTAATGATAAAGTTCAAAATATTCTTAAAATAAGTTATGATGCACTTGATGATGATACTAAAAACATCTTTCTCGATATTGCTTGCTTTTTCATTGGGGATGACGAAAATGACACTTCTATAATATTGGAAGCTTGTGGTTTTTATGCCAAAATTGGAATCAAAACCTTGATAGAAAGATGCCTGTTGACAATAGATGGAGTGTCTGAAAGGCTTCAGATGCATGATTTAGTACAAGATATGGGAAGAGAAATTGTTCAAAAGGAATCTCCACGAGAGCCTGACAAACAAAGTAGATTGGTTGACCCAAAGGATGTATTTGATGTTCTTCATGGTGACAAGGTAAAACATTTCTTTTGTATTTGAGTTATTCTAGTTAATTCATTTGCTTGTTATACTTAATTATCTTAAAATCAAATTAAAGATTTTTAGAATATCTAAAATCTGAAATAACGATATATAAATGTTTTTTATAGGGCACCGAAGCAATTGAAGGGATAATTGCAAATTCTTATATGTTAGGGAATGTGCCTTTGAGTACCAAAGTATTTACAAGGATGGTAAAGTTAAGAATACTCATATTGAGAGATACGAGTCTCAGCGGATCTTTTAAATATTTATCCAATGAACTTAGGTTGTTTAGATTACACCATTGCCATTTGAGGAGCATACCATCTGATTTTTGTTGTGAGAAACTTGTTGAGTTAGACATGAAAGGTAGCAATATCAAAGAATTCCAATGCAATATGCAGGTTAGTATGTCAAATGCTTCTTTCAACATTGCATATTTCTTAATTAAGAACTTTGAGTAGAAAAATAGAAATTGATTAAACTTAGCTTGTTTCTACTTTTTTTTTTTTTTTTTTTCAACAGCATTTTAGATGCTTGAGGATCTTAAAGCTTGATTTTTGTCACCAACTTAAGAAAACACCAAACTTCACTGGGGCAAATACTCTTCAAAATGTATCCTTTGTGTATTGTTCAAATTTGGTCAAGGTACACCCATCAATTGGAAGTTTGGAGAGACTAGTTCAGTTAGATTTCAAAAGTTGCAAGAAACTCAAGGTTCTTCCAAGTAGCATTTGTAAGTTAAAATCACTTGAAGTTTTACGTTTAGATGAATGCGAAAAACTAGGGGAGCTTCCAACTGACTTGGGAAAATTAGAGCAACTAAGAGATTTACTTGCCCGTAGAACTTCCATCTCACATATACCATTTTCTTTGGGATGTTTGAGAAATCTAAAGAGACTGGATCTGGGGGAGCACAAGAGTTCCGTAATATCACACTTAAAATCTCAACTTCTTGACATTTTATCACCTCATTTATTGTCAAGAAGAAGGCGTGATGGGATTGGATTTTTTCCACCTTCAGTTGCAAATTTATCATCCTTGGAAGTTCTAAGTGTGAGTTACAACTATCTACATGAAGTAGATTTTAGGATCACTCTTGAGAATTTGACCTCATTGGTAACTTTAGATTTATCAGGAAGTTGTTATCTTCAAAGCTTACCCTTTGGGCTTTGTCATCTTTCAAACTTGAAACATCTCTACCTGGACAATTTGCAAAATCTTAGAGTACTTGAAGAACTTCCTCTTAGTTTGGAGATACTCTCTGCAAAAAATTGTGTCTCATTGGAGAAAATAGCAGATATATCAAACTTGAAAAGACTTGAAGTGTTGCGTATTGGGAAATGCAAAAGTTTGGTTGAGCTTCCAAACATGGAGAGTGTTTCATCCTTAGAAGAGCTTGACATAAGCAACTGCAATGCTCTAACTATTCCTGACAACTATTTGCATGAAGTAGATGATCTTCCAATTGCTCTTAGGAGTTTGTCCTCCTCATTGAAAGAATTAGATTTAAATGGAAGATACTATCTTCAAAGTTTGCCATTAAGCCTTTGCCATCATTCCAATTTGATGAGTCTCTACTTGGACGATTGGCAGAATCTTAGATCACTTCCACAACTTCCTCCTAATTTGATGAGACTCTCTGCAAAGAATTGTGTGGCATTAGAAAAAATAGCAGATCTATCAAACTTTAAAAGACTCGAATGGCTAGATTTTCAGAACTGCAAAAGTTTGGTTGAGCTTTCAGGCTTGGAAAGTCTTGAATCCTTACATGGTCTTGGGATAGCAAATTGCAGTGGTTTGAGGATTCCTTCAATTGAAAAGTGGTTCAAGGTTAGTTATATATGTTCCCCTCATCTCTGATAATTTGGTGTTTTTAAAATATATATAGTAGGAAGTAATAATTAGAATAAATGGAGATTGTAATGGTTTTGGTATTAATTTTTATATTGTACTCCATAATGTAGGCATGTTCTAAAGATGATAGTGTCCAGATTTCGCTTCAAGTGGGCTTGGGGTCCGTATCCTGCAATTTTCCTATACCTTTGGGGGGAAATTACTTTCACGTCATGCACAATGTGATTGATCCCAGTGAAATTGATGATGCTGATGCTTGCAATGGAATTCGTTTGAGTGTGAGATGCAAAAGCAGTGGTGCTTGGATTCTAAAGGAACCCAATTATATTAACATCAATGTGTGTTATAATGTCAAAAGCATTACGTATGATGGTATGTCTTTTGAAGTTCCAACAAGGATGGGAGAAGTATTGGAGGTGTATGCAGAATTTAATTCTTTGCAGATGATATTTTGTCTATTTGAAATACATAGAAACAGAGAAGGCGAAGTGCGTTTCTTTCCATCCTCAAGGGGATTCATTCCTGCATCTTCATGAACCATAAGGATGTTAGAGTAGCACCAGCTTTTGCTGCAAATGAAAAGCAAAAAATGATTATTGTAAGTATATCCTTCACACTTGACAGACACTTCTTTAACATCGTACTATATCTTTTGTTGTTTATTTATTTTAATTTGATTAAAGTGTCATTAAATGATTCAAAAGATGTCTTAACGGTCATATTTGATCTTATTTTACCTCATATTTTTATGCTCAAGTCAAACTTGTACGAGACATGTACGGCCGCCGCACATAAGAAGTACGAGTTGTCCAGTATATATGCTGAAAGTAAAGGAACAAAGCAAGGTGGACTCCGGAGTGGAATGTTATGTTCAGTTGAAGAAAGGCATTGGTACGGTGTTGCTGTCAAAAGAAAAACCTTTGGTGCTTGGATTGTAAGGGAATCTGTATATAATTAATACTGTCAAATTAAAGCGGGTAAAAGAAATGATTTTGAGGTATCAATGCAACAATGATTGAAGAAGTACAGTATTGGAGGTTTATGCACAAATGTAGAGCAGAATGGCTGGAGTAGGCCAGGAGAAGACACAACATGTTGCATTTGGGACTTTTTCCTTAAATATATTTTTGTTGGGGTATGATGTGTAGCTAGTATAGCTTAATGTTGTGAAACCGGAGGGCCCAAATTAATTTAATTTAGTAATATTGTGAACACAGAAGAATAAACGATTAAAAAGAAGAAGATGGTGAGAATTATGTGTACACTCTATTTGGTTTACCGCGGTTCGGTTCTATGATCATATATTTGGAATGGTAACGAAGATGTTATCACAGTACATAATAGTTAGCATTTAGAATTTTTCTATTCCTACTTGTATTGTACATTTAGTTTTTGAAAGTAAATGATGATTTTCCATTCAAAAAAAAAAAAAAGCGAAATTTTAAATTAACTTATTAAATTGATATACTTTTAACTTTAAACTACAAAGTTAAAGGTTATAATTGGAAAAAGCTTTATTAAATTAAGAAATTTCTCTTAATTACCATTAACAGAAATCTTTCATTTCCCAACGAAACTTTTAAGGACACTCTAGAAAACATCGCTAAATATAATAATTTGGGACGTTATATTAAATAACGTCACTATATATTTTGGTAGAGACAATAAATTTTTTTAGTAATATTTACTGACGAAATATAATTGTTTTGTCAGTAAAGATATAGAACTAATGACGTTTTATATATAATAAACGTCTCTAAATATTTTTTTAAAAAATCAATTTTAACATAAAACGTCAGAAAAAGTGAAAATATTTTGGGGAAAAACTTTTTATCATTTGGACTCTGCATCTCTAGTTTTCCCCTCATCTATCTCACTACACTACAATAGAATTTTCTCTGCTTCTAATCTCATTATTTCATCATAATACCTAGGTTTAATCTCTGCAAAATCATAGTGGAAGTCATCCAAAGGACCCAAGCTTACTAGAGAAGATTCATGTCCAAGTAAATACAAACCCTAATCAACTAATCTTGACCCAAGCATTCATGTATAAACTCTATATTTGGTATCATTTGGGTGATTTTTGCTCTCATTATGATTTTTCAAAGTTGGGGCACGGAGATTATTCATCAGCGAACACAAAAGTGCTTAAACTGAAAAAAGAAAATGTGATTCTCCTTTAGGGTGCTACTGTCTTCATCTGCATTTACTTCTGCAGTTGTTATTGTTTTTGAATTATTGCACGGATATTAGTATTTCTGCAAATTTCTGTATATGGTTTATTGCAAGGGTTTTGAGGATAGTGCAAGTAGTCTTTTTAGCATGTCATGATGTATGAATACTATTTGTGGAGTCTAGAGTTGATTTTGACTTCAAGAGTCTGCTGATCAAGTTTGCATGAGCTTTTGCTTTTTAATGGTGATTCTGTTTTGGCAAAATGGTGTTTGACCTTGGGATTCTTTGGTGATTGGTGGTGAGATGGTTGAGTTTCATGACACATGTCTGTTGCTGGCAGGGACGGAGGGAGAGGGGGGGCGGAGGGGGCAGCTGCCCCCCTCACCCCACCCCACTCCATATATGGTATTTGTATGTATATATGTATATATAGTACATGTTTTAGTATTAGTATAAAAAAACTATAAAATGTTAACAAAAAGTGAGTTAGAGTGGTGGTAGAGCACATCATTGGTAATAAATAATGAGGTTAAGGGTTCTAATCTTAGCATCAACATAGATTTACAATTCTTTTTTAATAGCTTTTTAATATTACACACACACTCTATAATAAGATGTGTAATTTATAATGTGTTCTCTATTCAAATTATTTTATTAATTATATTTCATATTTTGTTATAAATATTTTAATAAAGTTTCGATGTGTTTTATTTTTCGTCCATATCCAACAATATTTACAATTATATTTCTTAGGTAGTTTATTTATTTATTTTTAAATTGTCTCTTTTGTTTTAATGTTTCACCTTTTCTGAAAAAAATTTCTGAATCCGTTTCGCCCCCCTCAACCGAATTTCTGGCTCCGTCCCTAGTTGCTGGGTATGGCCTGTGATAATGCATTCTATATAAAGTATGAGGTGCCTAGGTGGTTTTTGAGAATGTATTTCTAATCAAGGTTGAATGGTTTTGGTGTGTAAAGGGGGAGAAGGAAAATATGTTTTTTTTTTTTTAAACAGGAAAATATGTTTCTTAAAAAGAACTAATAATCATTTGCATTTACATATGCACTTGTTATTCTTTCCAGTAAGATGTTGGTTCTTGATGTGCTTAGTATGTCTTTAATTATTGCAATGATATTATAACCTTGATGTTCTTTCTTCCATTTGGCTAACTGTATGGTTCACTTGTTTCAGACACCATGTGGCCACAATTTTTGCTTGAAGTGCTCTGAGAAATGGATTGGACAGAGGAAGCTTACTTGTGAAAATTGCCGTGCTGCCATTCCGCACAAAATGGCAAGTCAACCTCGAATCAACTCTGCACTTGTTATTGCAATCAGGATGGCTAAACTGATAAACTCTCAAAACAACAATACCTTTGGATTTATTAATGAAACTATATTTTGAAATGTTGTTTCTGTATTGCTTGCCTTCTAGGTATTATTGACTAGCTTATGTTTATGTTAAAGAATTGTATATCTTGATTTCAATTTTAAATGTGCTGATATAAGTATTTTGTGGTGATTAACCGCTGAATTCTTTTCAAATTTTATTAATTTTTTCACTGTCTATCAAGGTAATTTTGTTTTTAAAATGCATTTGTTCTAGCCGAAGTCAATATGGGGTATGACTAAGTTTTATTTCTACGAGTTAGGATCCTTGAGATTACTTTGATTCCCAACAAGCTAATGCACTCAAGGCACTTGGGGATTCAATAGCTGGTAACAGACAATATAAATATAGTGTGAGCACTGAAGAAGTGTTTAGCTCCTTGAAGGAATTTATCTCAGAAAATTCACAGGGATTACTAGAGGTCTAGAGTCAAATCCAGCCAATAGTCAGTCCAGAAACAACTTTTAAGTAAGATTAAAGATCTTAATATGTTTTCCTTCTTTTAAACTGGTGTCTAGTGGGAATGTTATCTTTGGTTGTTTTTCTTTCATCCTTATGAGCAAACCTCTTTTATTTTTTCATCAATAAAAAGTGAGAAAGAAATTGAACCTTTATCTATTTTTATTATACAAGTGTTCAATGCATTGACTCAGAACATATCAAGTACCAAATATAATCTTGCATTCACAATGTTAAGTGGACTGTTCATGCATTAATTTCAAATTGCAATCTATTAATGTTAATGGACCACTTATCCAAACTGGAGGTTAAATACTATTCCCATAATTTGTTTAGACTATGCCTAGCACTTCTCGGATTTCTCCTGGTTTTTATTTTTTATTTTCCAAATTTGTTTGTTTGTCATGTCCTTTCTATTTGGTCTTAAGATTGCATTAATATTATTTTCCTCTCAATGCTTGCATTTGGGGTTTTGAAATAGGTTGAATCTCAGATTGTTACAAAAAAAAAAAAAAAAATGCATACTGAATTTGCTGCTATATATTTTACCAGATTCAGAATTTCAGTGAGTTGATAATGAAAGTATGATCCCTCCCCCCTCCCCGATGCTAAAAAGAATAGGTCATGACTCTGCAGTATTTACGTCTGCTTGTCTTTCTATTCATTCATCACCCATCTTTTCATTTTTTAAAATTTATTATTCATTCAAAGTGACATATTGTGTTGATTTCCCATCAGAGATAGTGAGGATAGGTGAAGGGTGAGCTTGATTGTGAGGATATGTGAAATTGCCAAACGGGGAGAGCTGCCAGACAAGATCCTCTGAAACATACAGAATATTGTCCTTTGCAAACTATGAATATATATTATGCTTGTATGAATATATACTATGCAAACTATGAATATATATTATTTAATTGCATAGTTAGCATACAATTATGTTTGTCATAAATAAATTTAATTGGTGACGAAAAATGAAATGTGTCAATAAAATGACATTTAGTGACGATTGTTTATATTATTATGTTGTCATTAAAAAAATTAATTGATGACAAAATAACAATTTGTCAGTAAAAAGACATTTACTAACGTTTTTTTTCATATTTGTTGTCATCGCAAAATTTTATATTTGGAGATATTTGCAATTTTTTATAATTGATGATAATTTACATATACGTGTATATGAAAAGATTTACACAACAGTTTCATGTAATTGAGAATAAAATACTTTAGCATCAATTAAATGTTCAAAATAGAAGAATATTTTTCATAGTATAATATTGAATTACAAGGATGTAATGTGTATATACAATGTTGGGAAACATTCAAAGCAAAGGCTTCAAGTGGGAACCCATTTAATGATCATTTGATTAAAGTGAGTGTCCCACATTGCTTTGCTAGCTTTCCATTCCTTCCCTTATATAGTTGAACTCCCTATACACACGAAACACCATCCCTATTGTTCTTTCCCGTCTATGCTATGGTCGTTAAATATCTTTAAGATAGTGTTCCACTGAACACGACACAAGTCTACCTCTACTTGTTCTGGATTTCTTCATATCTTTAAGATAGTGTTCCACTGAACACGACACATGCCTACCTCCACTTGTTCTGGTTCTGCGCTGCGCAAGCTTTATTCCAGGTATTCATCGCGCCTATTTTACCCAACAGTTAAAGATATTTAAAATTCAGGGAAGTGATGTCTACTGCAACGAAGCTAGCTTCTGATGTCACACCCATCGAAATTCTCACCGGCGGTATGAACTACAAACGATGGGCTGCCAGGATCATCATGCTGCTGGAAGAAATTGAGGTTGACTATGTGATATATGAGGATCCAGCCACGTTCATTCTAACGGCTCCTACCGCGACAGCGACCGTGACTACTGCTATTGCCACTGTCGTGGCAGCTGACAAGTCTGACAAGGCAGCTGATCAAGTTCCTACGGCGAAACCTACACGAAGTACCCCGCAGGTCTGTCCCAAGTATGTGAAAGACAACAAAATTGCACAGTCTACAATTCTTCAACGGGTAACAACTTCAATTTTTGATATGTTTTATGGAGAAAAATCTGCTAAAACTATCTGGGAACAACTGCAAGAAAAGTATGGTTCCGATGACACCGGTAGAAGAAAGTACGTCGTGGGACGTTGGCTGCATTTTCAAATGAACGAATCCAAAACCGTGGTGGAACAGGTACATGACTTCGAAAATATGATTTCTGATATGCGAACTCAAGTTGCTGAAGTCAACGATGCGTTCCTGTGCGATGCACTCGTTGATAAGTTGCCCGAATCGTGGGTGGACTTCAAAAGTAAAATGAAACACGAGCGACGCAACTACACCATTCAACAACTTATCAGTAGCATCAACATTGAAGAGGAAAATCGCATGGTACAAAAATCTGAATCCTTTTCTAATAATTCAAAGGCTAACATTGTTGAAACTACAGGAAAAGGTGATAGGCATAAAACAGGTGATCAAAATAAAAATCAAAAAAGAAATGCGAAAAATAGCAACAATCGCATCAAAAATGGAAAAATTCATAAAAAGGGCAAATGCGACGAATGCTTTGTTTGTGGAAAACGGGGACACCGAGCTGCACAATGCTATCATCGCAAAGGGTCCACCAGCAAAAAATCAGAGAATGACGGATCCAAAAATCAAGCACACGTGGTAGAAACCACGAAGGATGACGAGGTCATAGCAGCGGTGATTACTGAGGTCAACATGGTCGGAGACCCAGACGAGTGGGTCGTGGACACAGGGGCATCTCGTCACTTCTGCAACAATAAGTCCTTTTTCAAAGTGTTTGAGCCTGTCACTTGGGGGGGGGGGGGGGGGGGGGGGGGAACAAGTCTTCATGGGAAACTCCAACATTCCTGAGGTAAGTGGTAGAGGAAAAGTAGAGTTACTGCTTAATTTTGGCAAGAAGTTATTACTAAACAATGCGTTGTATGTTCCCTCTCTGCGTAGAAACTTAATTTCCGGGGGCCTACTTAATAAGGCTGAGATCAAAATTGTCCTTGAGTCAGACCGCTTTGTTATGACTCGGTGTGTGACTTTTCTCGGAAAATGGTATCTACGGGGGGGATTATTTATGTTAGACATATCTGTAATTGGACCAGAATCTATCAATAAGAATAATGTTTCCCCTTCGGCTTATATTACTGTTTCAGTTAATTTGTGGCATGGTAGATTAGGACACGTTGGCTCAAAGTGCTTAAATAGATTAAAAAGCCTAAATATGTTGCCAAACTTGTCTAATGATGCATGCTCTCAATGTGAAACTTGTGCTGAAGCAAAATTGCTAGGAAACTCTTTTTTGCTGTAACTCATAGATCTTCCTCTGTGCTTGAATTGATTCACTCTGACCTAGCGGGTTTTAAAACCACTGAAAGTAAATGTGGAAAACGGTATTATATAACTTTTATAGATGATTATTCTCGTTTTACAAAACTATACCTCTTGAGATCAAAAGATGAAGCTGAACAAAAGGTTTTGATTTTTAAAACTGAGGTAGAAAATCAATTAAACTTGAAAATAAAGAGGCTTCGTTCTGACAGAGGTGGAGAGTATGAATATTTTTCGCTAAAACCTTATGTGAAACTTCGGGTATAATCCATGAAGTAACTGCACCTTACTCTCCCCAACAAAATGGCATCGCTGAAAGGAAAAATATAACCCTTAAAGAAATGATTAACGCCATGTTGATCAGTTCAGGAGCACCAGACTCTATGTGGGGGGAAGCTGTTCTAACGGCGAACCACATTTTAAATAGAGTCCCACATAAAGGGTTCGAAAAAAACCCTTATGAGATGTGGAAAGGGCACGCCCCGAACCTGAAATACTTTAATGTGTGGGGATGCTTGGCTAAGGTGGGTCTACCATCCCTGAAAAGGTCCAACATAGGACCCAAAATCTTTGATGCCGTTTTTGTTGGATATGCCGAGAATAGTGCAGCATATAGGTTTATGTGTTTACAAAACTGTTCTATGTGTGAATCAAGAAATGCAATATTCTTTGAACATATCTAGCCTTTAAAAAATGCTTATGTCTCACCAGTTGATACTCTGTGTCAAAATGATAATGCCAATTTTCCTAGCATTACTAACGATTTGGATGAGCCCAGAAGAAGCAAAAGACCCAAGATAGAGAAGAATTTTGGTTCTGACTTCATAACATATGTCACAGAACTAAAAGATTTAAACGAACTATGTGACCAGTTTGTGTGCCAATTAGTATTGGAAGAAGAACCAAAAATGTTTAAAGAAGCAATGCAGTCAGTCGACTCCATTTTGTGGAAAGAAGCTATCAAAAGTGAATTGGACTCTATTCAGTCCAACTACACTTGGGACTTGGTAGAACTACCCAAAGAGTGCAAGCCAATTGGCTGCAAATGGATCTTCAAAAGAAAACTTAGACCAGATGGGTCTATTGGAAGGTTCAAAGTCAGGCTAGTAGCCAAAGGCTTTACACAGATTCGGTGAGAATTACTTCTACACATACTCACCAGTGACAAAAGTGGGAACCATTCGAGTTCTTTTTGCATTGGCTTCTTTACACAACTGGATAGTTCACCAAATGGACGTGAAAACGGCTTTCCTCAATGGTGAATTAGAAGAAGAGATCTACATGGAACAACCACCTGGTTGTGTTGATCCAGGGCAAGAAGGAAAGGTATGTAAACTAAAAAGATCTCTTTATGGCCTAAAACATGCCCCTAAGCAGTGGAATGAAAAGTTTCACAAAACTTTAATGGACCTTGGTTACACTACTAACCGGTCAGATGCCTGCTTGTACTCTAAAGAGGTCCAATCTAGTATTGTAATAATATGTCTCTATGTGGATGACATGTTAATTTTTAACTCAAGTATTGAGGCTATAAATGAAACCAAACGAACTCTATGTCAACAGTTTGAAATGAAGGATCTAGGAGAAGCCGATGTAATACTCGGGATAAAAGTCACAAAAACCAATACAGGTTACCTTCTATCCCAAGGTCACTACATAGAAAAACTTCTGAAGAAGTTTGACAGTTATGATGTTGTTTCGGCTAAGACTCCTTATGATCCTAGTGTCAAACTATTGAAGAACATGGAGTCAGGTGTGTTTCAAGAAAAATATGCAAAAGTAATTGGGAGTCTAATGTTCTTGATGAACAATACCCGACCCGACATTGCATTTGCAGTGAATAAACTCAGACGCACTAAAAAGGATACTCAGGTATCTTAGAGGCACGTTAGACTGGGGTTTCAACTTCAAAGGACACCTAGCTGTGCTAAAAGGGTTCTGTGACGCGAACTAGGTAAACGACAGTGATGATGTAAGCTCTACAAGTGGATATGTGTTCACATTATGTGGGGCTGCAGTGTCGTGGAAATCAACCAAATAGTCGTGCATAGCCAGATCAACTATGGAAGCAGAGTTCATAGCTTTAGATCTGGCTAGCCAAGAGGCTGAGTGGCTAAGAAATTTAATGGCAGACGTGCCGTTGTGGGGGAGTCCTGCTCCCGCCGTGCCCATTCATTGTGACTCTCAAACTGCCATCTGTGTAGCACAAAATAGTGTCTACAATGGAAAGATGAGACACATTAGAGTCAGACATGAGTCTGTACGATAGTTAATATTGAATGGGGTAATCACAATGGAGTTTGTGAGATCTGAAAGGAATTTAGCTGATCCTTTCACGAAATGCCTAAATCGAAAGGTTATTTTTGATACGTTAAGGGAAATGGGCTTAAAAGCCAATGAGGTGAGAAATTCATGATGGATACCACCTCGGTGGTCAAAAGAAATCATGGAAAGACTCGCATTTATAAGCAGACTATAAATCAGTCCGCTCGCTGTAGTCCACGATTGGCAGTCTACGGTGAAGTACACTCGGTGGAGTGGAATGTCTGTGCTGAGACAAACAAAACAGGGTTAATACATGGTTATCCAAATAACTATATAAAGTGTACAACAAATAAAGCTAACGAGGTGCACATAAGTTCAAAATTCAACTAGTCGAAGAGTTCAAGATTCTGTTCACTCTCGGATAGTGGATTCTTAGTGCCACTACTTGTCAGTTCAAGTTTAACACACTGACATGAAAGCTAGCTCTTGTTTGTTATGCTCAGCTGCTCTCCGTCAAGCCTTACACCTTCGAATGTGTGGGGGATTGTTGGGAAACATTCAAAGCAAAGGCTTCAAGTGGGAATCCATTTAATGATCATTTGATTAAAGTGAGTGTCCCACGTTGCTTTGCTAGCTTTCTTTTCCTTCCCTTATATAGTTGAACTCCCTAGAGAATGCTTGAAGTGTTATGGAGAGGGAACAAGGGGAAAACCCCGTGTGCGCCGCCGCCGCCCGTTCGGCACGCGTGCGAGGTGTGGTGTGGAATACTTTTGCTCGGTCCTCTTTTGTGCTATGCTATTTTTATGGATCAACACAAATAATGTTCGAATAGATCATGTTGTCAGCACTGTTTTCGCACATTAGGACCATGCATGAGCTATGTTTTTGCATTGGCTCTAATAGGATGTAAGATGCTATAAATAGCAATGCATTCTTCATTCTTCATTACACAATCACGGCATTACAGCTATACACACGAAACACCATCCCTATGTTCTTATGCTAATTTCTTCCCGTCTGTGCTATCTGTCGAAGATATAACGATACCCTGGTCGTTAAATATCTTTAAGATAGTGTTCCACTGAACACGACACAAGCCTACCTCCACTTGTTCCGATTCTGCGCTGCGCAAGCTTTATTCCAGGTATTCATCATGCCTATTTTACCCAACATATAATGGGTCCAGCATTTCTCCATGGCTGTGTAGAAGGCGAACAACAACTGCAAACATGGCCTCTTTGCCATTCATGAGATCCAAATACATATCAAGCAACCTAAGAAAATAAATCAATGAAAATAAGCAAAGATTTATCTAGCAGAGAACACAGAGAAAGCAAATGGTTGTAGAATGTACTCACTGCAGATATGCTTCTAGTCTACCAATCTCTGCACAATACTGTTTTGCAGTTAAACAGTCGTCTTGCTTTTTATCAGGAAACAATAACAAAATAAACTTCATAGTATGATAGTATACTTACAATTAATGAATTGAAAATATTCCTTTTTCAGAATCAAGCTTGGCATTAATTCTTGATCACTGATAATCAAAAGATAATACCATTACACAGAAAATGAATTATGCCTACATACTTACAATGCCAAAATTAGGAGGACTAGTGCTTCCTGACCAAGCTTCCGGTAAAGAATAGCTTGTCAGAAAACAATCAAGTTAGAAAAATAGTGAAAATAAGCACCAGACTTCTAATTCAAGGGCCATTTTTCCACCATACTAAAAAAATATGATCTGAGCATAAATGAAGTAACTCAGTACCTTCTCCATCCATAACTCAGAACCTTCAATTAAGTCAAGGACCTCTTCTGGATCATACAAGTCAGATGATTGTAAAAAGATCTGTAGCCTCTCTCTGACATGACTATCAAAGATTTAATTCTCTAACAAATGTTGTATTTCATAAGCATCAAGAACTGACTTTGCAAGCAAGAGAGCATATGTTGTATGAAACTGAGTGTTGTCCAACTCCTTATCTTCAATTAACCACCGGAGATATCTGCACAAATATAGTAAGCTTTTTAATATGACTTGAATAAAGAAAAAAGGAATCTATGGAATCCCCATCAATAGAGAGATGTGTTCTATATACGAAATACAATATGTTCATTTTCACTATTTGGTTATCTGTGTCACTCTGAGAATATAAAGGATAAGATTAGGGTATATAGTCATTCTTCTGCTATTTTTATTTATATATTTTCCCTATAAATGTGTTTTGCAAACATATGTCAATTGTCCTGTTATGTACTCAAGCAAACACATGTGTCACGGGGTAATTAGGGTTATCGAGGTTTGTGGGTTGCCTATGTTAGAGAGAAGAATTAAAGGAAATAGGGAACAAGATACTAGGAACGTGGTTTTATCCTAACTTCTTGCTTGATTGTCCTTTATTATAATGAAAATCCCTTTGGACACGGTTCTATGTTTATAATTACTGAACTATATATTCATAATTATAAAGTTATATATTCATAGTTTTTGAACTTCATATTCATAATTATAGAACTCTATGTTCATAATTATTGAACTCTATGTTCATAATTACTGAACTCTATATACATAATTATAAAGTTATATATTCATAATTTTTGAACTTCATATTAACAATTATTGAATCTCTATATTCATGATTACAGAACTATATGTTCATAATTATGTTCACAACTCTATATTCATAATTATAGAATTATATGTTCATAATTTTTGAATTATATATTCATAATTATGTACAGTTTCGAAATCGTGTCCACCTTTCAATTATTTATTTAATATTAGATTCATATATTTATTTATTTATTTATAAATTTAAATCTAATATTAGATGGACATTCAATCTGTTAAATCACAAAATACCCAAATTCCATTTATTATGCTTAGCCCAACCCATCTTACCTTGGCCCATGTATAAAAACCCATACCAAAACCCCAAATCCGACATCCAGATTCCAGACCACTTTGTCTGTAAGATCTGTTCTCTCTTTATTCTTTCTGGAAGCTAAGCGACGCTTACATATCCGACCAACACAATGAACAAAGCTTCGATCATCCGGCCATATCCATCCAAATCGCCGCCAAAATAAACATATTCGAGCTACTTTCATAATCGTCTTCCTAATAATGTAACCTACGAAGGTCGTCTAAGAACCCGCTACGGAGCCCCTCAAATCGACGACCTATATACCGCAATGACGGAACTGGTGAGACGATTTCTGATGAAATAGGTATAGATGTTGTCTATTACTCTATTACATATCTGTCAATTTTGTCATGATTTTTGCAGACAGCCCGTATCTAATAATTGCTGCTACTACGAAATCTTCAGTCGAAGAATGGAACGATTTTAGGTTTTTATTTCGATTGTAGCAAAGAATAATTTAATGGCTCGGCGAAAGCCTATAAGCGATTTAACAAGTGAGCTGCCGGGAGAGGTAAAAGACAGAATTTTGGAGTATTTGCCCACCCCAGACGCCGCCAGAATGGCTCTGCTCTCAACCTACTGGAAAGATGCTTGGTTGCACCATGGGCAGCTTGTGTTCGATTCGGACTTCTTGGAGAGTGTTTATGAGTACTGTGATGATGAAGGTATAACCTACGTGAACATAATCAATAATATCCTCTTTCTCCGTGCTGGGCCGGTTAAGAAATTTACTATAAAGATAAGGAGTGCAATTGATCCTCCTCCAGAGGAGTCTGATTTCGAGAGGTGGTGTCTTTTTCTGTCCAGAAATGGCGTGGAGGAACTTAACATATCTTTATCGAGTTATGTGGAATATAAGCTCCCATTTTGTTTACTCTCTTGCAGGACAATTAAGCAACTGATAGTCCAGGCTCCCTTTATTGATTTGCCTGTAAATGCTATTGGTATATTTTCCAATGTCACTTCATTAGCTTTCTTCGCTGTTACATTTAAGCGCATTGTTAATGGAATTGCCTCTAGTATTAGTATTCCTAAACTTGAGAAGCTGGCTTTGGAAGATTGTGATGGGATCAATAAATTTGAGATCAGCCCTCCAAAGCTTGAAATCTTGTCTATTATTGGTTCTATGGATGATGTAGTTGATTCGAGATGGTTGGCACCGCATTTGAAAGCCATTAAGACTCTTTGGTTGTGTGGCACTTCGTTGCGGGTGAAAATATAACTCATTCTACTTTATGCAAATGGATATATGGATACATATAATTCTATACCTTCTGTCTTGTTAAAGTTGTTGTGGTGGCTAATTTTGTTTCTTTATTTCTATTTCTCAAGTATATGGATGTATCTATGTTTTCAACTGCAATAAATCTGCAAGTGATGAAGCTGTATGAATTAAGTTTTGGTTGTGGGAAGCAGCTCACCGTTGCTATGCAATTGCTTCAAAAATGCCCCAACCTATGTGAACTAGGAATTATGGTGGAGGATGAGCAGAGGTTGAGTATACATGCATTTGGCAATATATCATGCTTGATTCTTTGTTTTTTATTTTTCAAATGTCCTCACAGTTGTGTGTTTCTTTCATTTCTTCTTGAGTTATAGCGCTTGTGGGGATGACAAAGAAGTTGCTTCAAGGCTTTTGGAGGATCCAGATGGTTGCTTTGTTATTCAGGAGTTGAAGATGCTTAACACAATCAAGATTGAATCATTCCGTGAATCCGCACTCATAATGCTTTTTATGAAAATGTTGCTCTCGAAATCCCCTGCACTAGAGAGAGTTGTTATTCTGAAGCCTTGGGATATGAATGACTCTGAGGTGAGCAAAATCCTAAGGAAGTTGGAATGTTTCCCTCGTGCATCTCCAAACGCGCAAATAGTATGCACTGGCAATTACTGCTGCAAGTTCGAGTACTATGAGCGTAATGAGTATTTGGATTTATACCCATGGTTTTAGCCTTTTAGAAACCTAGTATGGTGTGGTGAATCTCCATGGGGGTTTAATTTGGGTGCAACTTTGAAATGTAAGCAATGGTTGTGTTGGAAATTGAAATGTTTTCTAAGTTGTTTAGCATGAGGTATTTGTAATCAGCCAGCATTGTGGGCAATTAAGAATGTTCCTAAATTTGCTTTTGTTAATTGTACTTGTTACTACTTCAGATGATGTGGGTTAGTTGTGACTTCAACCAACACAATGGTGTTTCCATGAAATTTTTACTCTCTTGAAGATTTAATTAAGTATTCAATTATGTTGTCTTTTGTTGTGACAAATTTCACTTCATGTGATCAGTTGAGCTGACAAATTATGCTGCGCATATTATTCTGTTTGCAGTATGCATATATAATATAAAAAAATATTATATATTATTATATATGCATATATATGGTATAAAAGCAATTGTTTTTCTAATTGTAGTGTATATGTGTGTTATGTGTATTAGTTCAGATTGTTGAGCAGCCCATTGATAGTTCAGAGTATTTAGAAGCATACCACATTTACTCAAACTAAAAGAAGTTGTACACGACTACATTCAACGTAACTTTAAAGGATACCATTAAATATAAACAACTTTTACTTTTATTGAGGTACAACGAAAATACAAAAGCTTCTACATAACATTAAACTCCTTATTGCTTTCAAATATTCCGTAACAAATAATGATAGCCTTTTCAAGTATTGGAATTTAGTCCCTTAATGGAAAGCATTTCAAACTTTGATTCTTGAAATGAGCTAAGCTTCAAAGTATGCTGCATTTTGTGTTTGAGTTACACTATGAACTACCTCCAAAAGTTTCAAAATAGCATCCAAGCATCTCCGACCCATTTAACACTAAAACACCAAAAATCTCCATCAAATGCAACATCAAAGAGAATATTCTTACACCAAAGTTTCTTCTGTCTCCAACACATTACACCAAAACACCAAATTTCTACATCAAATGCTATTCTACACTAAAATAATATGGTTTCTCTAATTTTAAACTTTTATTAGTTTGAATTTAATTAGTTTAATATAAAATATAATTTGTGATATAAATAATAATTTGGTTTACGTGGGAAAGGAATTGTAATTCCATGGGAGATGAATTACTGGGAATAAAGTGGACATTTAAATTCTAGTGTTTGGTTTACAGGAATAAAATTACTGGGAATTTCAATACTAATGTTTGGTATACATAGCAATTGAAAGGGAATAAGTAGTATAAAGTCTAAAATGTTCATTGTTGTTGTCAGACATCAATTTTAGGTTAAAAAAGGGAGGGTAATTTTGTCTCATCATTATCTTTTTTTCTTCCTAAATTCCATGGAATTAAAATCCCAAGGGTGGGCATGGGATACCCGGGACTATGTGGTCTAATGGTACCCGGGTTGAACTTCCATTTAGAAGGTTGTGAGTTTGAGTCTCAGTTGAGGCATTGTTATACTAATTCCAAGGTTCTTCCCCGAAACGTAATCTAAACAAAATCCTTACTTTTGCAACTTCCCGTCCAAATACACAATACACAAAATCTCTAAATAATAATATTGATTGAAATTACACTGTAATTACTTTTCTAACTGTAGTACAATTGTACATGAAACATGTATCATTATTTCTTCAAATTATAATACAAAAATTGCAATAATTTAGAAAAAAGTTACAGTATAAATACTTTCCTATTCGTAATACAATTTTACTTATTATTTTACAAAATCTCCAAATAATAATATTGATTGAAATTACACTATAATTATTTTCCTAACATTAATACAATTGTACATGAAACATGCACCAATATTTCTACAAATAATAATATGCAATAATTTAGATTAATATTACAATATAAATACTTTCTTATCGGTAATACAATTCTAACTACTTATTATTTTACTGAATCTCAAAATAATAATATTGATTGAAATTACACTATAAATACTTTCCTAACCTTAATACAATTGTATATGAAACATGCATCCTTATTTCTACAAATAATAATCTCGAAATTGCACTATAAATACTCTCTTAATCGTGAACAATTCTTTCATCGAGTATTTTCTGCTCTTCTATGGTATTTCTGCTATTTGTCCCCATTGTTGACTAATGGAGTCTGTTTTTCGTCTCTAACTCCTTATTGGTAACAAAATGTTATATGAAAATCAACTAATATCTATTGCGTAATAACGTAATTTTATAAGGAAATAATGATTTATTAATTATTATGTAATTTTATAAGGAACTAATGATTTATTAATTATTATTTGCACCAATAATAATAATTTGAATACTAATTTTACACCAACATATACTATTAATAAAAGTCAAATCATCCCCTTCAACTTTCTCGCCATACCTAATATGAATATTAATTAATCTATATTATTAATAAAAGTTGGTGTTATCGGATTCAGATATGAAACAGTTGTCTCTGGTAGAGTTGAAGAAGTTGATATCTTTGTGGTGGAAGAGCCTGTGGGACTTTTCATAAATGTCAATTCCAGACGAAAGCAGCATGGGTTTTGATGGAAAACATGCTGATAGCCGAAGAGTTAACGTATGATAATGAATCGTTGATGACAGAGCATGAAACGTTGGTAACACAATTGACGGACGAGCATAAGAATGTCTACGAATTTGTGATGAATGATATTGATTCTGATGGATGTGAATTCTTCTTTGTGTATGGTTACGGAGGAATAGGCAAGACGTTCGTGTGGAGAACGTTATCGTCAAAGATAAGGAGCCGCGGTGATATTGTTCTCAACGTTGCTTCGAGTGGAATAACATCTTTGCTCTTGCCGGGAGGCAAGACGACGCATTCCAGATTTGCTATACCACTCTCTTTGAACGAAGATTCCACACGCAATGCATCGCAAGGCAATGACATTGCTAAGCTTATAATAAGGAGCAAATTGATAATATGGGACGAAGCACCGAAAATCATGAGGGATCTACCAAGGTTCGCCATATCGGGTAGTGCTGAAAAGACATTTGGTGAAAAGACAGTAGTTATGGGCGGTGATTTTAGACGAATTCTTTCCGTTATTCTGAAAGAAATGAGACCAATAGTTGTCGGAGCCACTATTAATTCTTCTTACCTCGGACAAATTGCAAGGTATTGAAGCTCACGGATAACTTGAGACTATAGAGCTTAGCTTCAGAGGAAAATAGATAGACGGTTGATTGGTTTTCAAAATGGATTGTAGACATTGGAGATGGGATTACAGGGGTTGTAACGACGGTTTGTCTGAGATCGACATTTTGGCACGGTTTCTTTTGAAGTGTGGACCCGATCCAATAGCAACTATAGTTGAAAGCACCTTCCCAAGCACGAGATATGACATGCTTGATGAGTCGCACCTAGAAGGCTGAGCAATCCTCTCACCGACTTTAGTTGAAAGCACCTTCCCAACCAAATTTTGTATTGACGAATTAACCGAACCGAAATTTTTTTCGATTAACTGATTAACCGAAAATTTTAAAACTAAAGTTTTAAATCCTAAAAATAATACCTATAATAATAAATCCAATTAAAATAATACATATAATAATAAATCAATAAGAAAATATACAAAAACAATATCATAACAACATTACAAATTATTAGGGATTTTACATATTAGATTATATATATATACATATATATATATATACATATATATATATATATATATATATATTTAAAATCTCGGTTAACCATTCGGTTAATTTGGTTAACCAAAGTTTCGAACCGAATTAATCGTTAACCAAAATTTTAAAAAACCGTTAACCATTAACCGAACCGAAAAAAGTTTGGTTATAAAACGGTTAATCTAACTTTGTCGGTTCGGTCGGTTAACAAAAAAATTTCCGAAGTTTGCAACCCCTATGTAAGGCAGAATAAGACGGCGAAAATCTATCAGAAGTACACAGTCCTAAATTCTTAAATAGTTTGAGATTGTCTGAACTTCCTAATCATTCATTGACATTAATGGTTGGTGCACCTGTTTTGTTATTGCGGAACATAAACCACTCTCTTGGTCTTTGCAACGGTACGCGCCTCATCATCACAAGATTGGCAGATCACATTGTCGAAACAAGAATAGTTAATGAGACACATCAAAGAACCAAAGTTTTTATACCCCGAATGTCTCTCACCCCTTCTGATACGAGATTGCCCTTCAAGTGTACGTGGCTTTTTACTGAGTCACCCATCTTGATGGCCTGAAGGTTTTAGCTCTAGACGAGGATGGACAAAATTCTGTTACTACTACCAATGTCGTCTACAAAGAGATTTTTAATAATGTGTAATTCAAACAAATGATATTATGTTCTTTTAATAGAAAGATGACAAAATTGCTATATATTTACATAAAAAATATATATCTTCCGTACAAAATAATTTCTACAACTAAGTTGCTAGACAACGAGCTAATTAGCGCAATTAATACAAATATTAAACACTGATATATAAACTCTCTAAAGTTTCAGCACCGGATGCGTATATCTACATGTTGGCTATTAATTGGACAATTATTTGCTCGAATTCAAGCAATGATAATATTAGAAAACATAACCGATCCAACTCAATTCTTTAATTGCACTATATAATATTCGATGTTATAATTTATACAATTATATATCGATTCAAATATTCTTAAAATATTATAACAAATCTATTTTGTGCAACGCACGGGTGAAAATACTAGTTAAAAAAATAAGTAAAAAATTTAACTTTTGTAATTAAAAAAGTTAGGCTATTAGCCATACGTGGCCTAAATATTTATTATTTAGCCTAGTCTTAGTCAACCCAATTGTTATGCTGTGCAACCGTGTGCACCATGCATGGTGCACACGGTTGCAAAACGACGCCGTTTCATTAAAAAAAATCCGTTTGAATTATAGTTAACGGCGTTAGGCGGTTTTCGTTCGTATTCAAACAGTAGGATATATCCATAAATTCATAACTATATATTCACAAATTCATAACTATATATCCACAAATTCATAATTATATATCCAGAATTACATAACTATATATTCATAATTTGACAATAGTACATTCAGAAATAATAACTACACATTCATAATTTCATATCCATATATTCATAATTTCACAACTAGACATTTATAATTACATAACTCCATATTCAGAATTTTTAAAGTGCTTGTTCACAAGAGAACTATATCCATAATTTCAAAACTATATATCCACAACTTCATAACTAT